ATTTATTTAAATGGCTACTGTGGGGCTGGAGACCACGAGGGACTCAGGTCTCCCTGTGATGGTGACTGAGCGCACGTGGCGTCGTGTGAGTTGGCGGCTGCCGGGTATTCTGTGGCGGTTTCTTTGCTCTGAGTTCTGAGATGTCCTCAAGTGGCCAGCGGGACACCGTCCTTGTGCTTCAAGGAATCCTGTGAATTTCTGGGCTATAAAAATCCCCCCCATTCGCCGACCCTCAGGGCCCAAGGACAGGGAGTCAGGAAATGGTGGGCGAAGCCGGCTGTGCGGCTGGGTGCTGGTGGGCACGCTGGGCACGTGGGTCCCAGGCGCTCCGCCTCCTTTCGCTAGGGGGACAGCTTCCCTCTGGGGCACGGGGGTGTCGCCCTCGGAGCTTCCTGGCATGCAGCGTCCTGTGCCCTTGCACAGAGGATCCGATGGTGGGATGCTGCTCGGGTCTGCCTGTGGCCCAGGCGGACCGAGGCTGGTGCCCTGAGGCCCAGGCTTTGAGACACCCCCATGTGGAGGGGGCTTCGTTCACAGAGCACCTGGGAAGGTGGCTGAGGCTGCCACGAACAGCAGTGAAGCTGAGGCATCAAGAAGAAACGTGGTTTATTAGGGTTCTGGTTTGGCCTCCGAGGGTGAGGCAGCGGCCCGGACCGGCCTGAACCGGCAGGGCATGGGACGCATGAAGCCTCGAGCTGACCAACAGCAGGGCCCGCCACGGGTCTGAGTCAGAGTCCTTGGCTTCCTGTCCTAATGGAGCCGACAGACTTTTCATTACTTCAGTTACCAAGCATGTGGCCAATCTCCAGACGGACGTCGAGTAAATCCTTACTGTTTATGGAACTGGTAAGTGATGGGAGCTCTAGGAATTTTGTGAACTTTTCCTCTGAATTTTTCTGAACATCGTTCTTCATTATTTACTTACCTAACTCCAAAGTGACAGAATATTTTAGAAGTGCAGTTGTCTCACATTTCTCTCCCAGAGGGCTCTCACGGGCCTGTGGGCAAGCCCCAGTCAGACTGAGAAGTTTGGGTGCTGAGGCCAACCGGGCCCCGTGGACGGCCTGGCGGGTTTGACCTGTGGGCTTCACAGCCAGCTTCCAGAAGGATCCTGGAGGCAAGGGCCCAATTCTCGTCCTGAGCTTACAAGGTGTAGCACAGTTCCCAAGGCGGAGAATCGACCCTGACAAATCCAGTCACATGGCTGACCCCACGCCCTGCGACGTTTGCCCTAGGCCCTTGGAACCGGTGTATGGGAGGGGTTCGCCCGGCCTGCAGGTGTGGGCAGAGGCCATGGCATGGCTCCCAGGGTCTTGTTTGAGGGCAGCCCAGCGCCTTAGACGGGCCTGGAAGCTGCAGGCATCTCGGGTCTGGGACAGAGGACCTAAATATGCCACAGTGACCTTGTGCATCGAAGCAACGTGGGGCTTCATCAAAAACCACGCATCCCGAGCCTCGCCTGTGACGCAGACACAGTGGGGGCCTCTGTGAGGGGCCGCAGCCGGCTGTTGAGACGAGAAAGCTCTCTGGCCGGGGGTTCCGGTGTCTCCCCCGTCCCTCCTTCCCTTCCTTTTCTCTAAAAGGAAAACACTGGTTTTACAGAGAAGTGTCTTAGGTCATCACGTCAGGAAGCGGTGGAAGATAAAACAGCCGCTGAGTTTCAAATTGCTCACGTCTCACATTCACATTGCTTGCTTCAGACACATTAAGATTATTATCGAAGATCTCAAGACTGGAAGTACGTAACGTACGTCAGCATATACTACCTTCTGCGTATTTATACACAGAGTATATATATTGCTTCACAGCCCAGCTCATCTCAAAAAATTTTATGACAAACTTGACAGCGAGATTTAAATCGGACCCAAGAGGAAACAGAGTTTGGACTAGGCCTGCAGGAGACTTCAGTGACACCTTCTCTTGAGCTCTTTAAGGTGACAAATGTATAAGGGTCAACCAGCAAGAATCACCACCACCTCGACCTTAAAATAAAATAGGGAGAGTCGGAGGGAAAAAGAAGGGCTCGGTGGGCAGCCGTGGGGTGGCACTCAGAAATGCGCGGGCGAACTCCTGCTTCGGGAGCGTGGGTACCCACATTTCTCCCCATTTAGGAAGTTCTCACCGTTCCGTCTTTAAATGAGCTTTCCGCCCCCTTCTCACTCTCCTCTCCTGGGACCCCAGGAATTTGATTTGCGAACTGTTTCTCCGGCTGGCATCCCACCGACCGCGCAGGCTTTGTTCCTCTTTCGTCCTCTGTTCCCTGGATCGTTTCAAAGCTCCCATCTTCTCAGTCTTCCTTCTGCTTGATCGGTTCCGATGTTTATGAGATTGTATTTTTCATTTCATTCGTTGTAGCCTTCCTCTCAGAATTTGCTTTTTTATTTGTTACACTGCTTTTTGTTCACGTAGTTTTCTTGATTTCGTTGAACTGTCTTTTTCTTGTAGCTCACTGAGCTTCCTTAAAACAGCCATTCTGAACTCTTTATGGGGTAAATCACCGATCGCCATGTCTTTGGAAGACTATGATCCTTTGGTGGTGTCATGGTTCCTTGATTTTCCACATTCCTTGAGTTCTGCATTGCTGCCTTTGTATCTGGAGCCACAGCCACCTCCTCCAGCCGCTACTGCCTTTGGGAGAGAAACGCCGTCACTTGGCCCTGCTAGAGATGGGCCGCCTAGGGGTGATTGTGCCCAGCTTCCTGCTCCCTCTCATGGCAGAATCCCCAAGCTTGCTTGCCCGCCTTCTCCTGACTCTGCAGTAACCAAAGCTGGGTGCTGACGGCCTCTTTCGTTTTCCCAGGAGTGGAGCAAAAGCTCAAACTCGTGGTCTCTCTCTGGCCGGCAGATTCGGGCTGGCTTTTTGTACGTGCTCACTAGCCATCTGCCAAAGCTTGCTCTCGACACTACTTGGAGTGCACAGCAGGGGCTGGCCACAGAGGGAGGGGCTTCCTGTGGGCCAGTCTCCTGTGGACAGCCACAGGGAAGGCATCCCCAGAAGCTGGTGAGCCAGCTCCTTGATGGAGACCACGATGCAGTTGAACCTGCTGACTTCACAGCCTCTTCCCACCCCGTCAGGCAGCGCACGGTTCAGTACTCCGGATGGGGTGAGAGAGAACAGGCCTCTTGGGCAGCGTCCTGCATAGCTGTGGAAGCTGGGGGCTCCCTCACTCCCCACTTCCCCACAGGAGAAAGTCCGGGCTGAGATCGCCCTTGGCCCTGAGCCCTGGGGCAGGGGCGCTGAGGGCAGAATCAGGCTGCTCCCCTTCAGCACCCAGCCTCACGGAGCTCTGCTCCAGGGGCCATACCGAAGCTTCTCCACTGGAACCCTAGACCGCCACCAAGGCTCTTGTCCGTGGGTGATGCCTAAGAAAGTGTTCTCCAGGGTTTCCTAGGCTGAAGCCCAGAGGGGCCGGAGCTGGCTCACGAGCCACTGCAAGGTCCAAGCCAGGCCCTCGGTCTGGGTAACCGTCACCCGACGTCCAGGTGGGCAATGTCCCTCCAGATCCCGAAGCTCCCAGAGGCAGGTTTGTCCACGGGCAGATGCCACACTGTTGCTGTTGGGGGGCCCACAATGACGGACGTCTCATTCGGCCACGTTGCTGACGTCACTTCCGAAGCCGGCCATCATTAGTTACGACACCTGGCCAATGGGGAAGAAATGAACGTCCGCCAGTCCCTCCTCAGTGGCCAGAGTGCTGCGTGCTCTCTGCTGTGCCCTTTCCCCCAGGTAAGGCCAGAAGTTCAAGGTCAAGGTGTTTCGTTTCTCCTACAGGCCGTGAGAGAAGGCTACGTCCCAGGCCTCTCTCCCCGGCTTGCAGGTGGCTGCCCTTGTGCTTCCTCTTTACACGGCCTTTCTGCTGAGTGCGCGAAATCCCGCACGTTCTTACCGCACTGCCACAGCCGCTGACAAACGCTGGAGTTCCGCCCCCTGGTGTCAGCTTCAAGCCTTTAATGCCTTTAGCTACTGAAACTGATGAACGGAAATGGGTGAATCAGCCGGCTGGCAAGGGTTCCCCAGGTGCAGGAAAGGTTTGCGTTCAAAGACTGAGACCCTTAGGGATAAAGACCTCTACCCTCTGGAGGTCTCACGGGCTCTTCTCTAGGCCTCTGCTGAGCCAGCAGCTGCATTCGGGGCCCACTCCTTCCCCTGGGTCACGGCTGCTCAGGTTTCAGACACAAGCGTTGTGAAGAGTGGTACTAACCACTTTGCAAGCGATCTTTCTCCCTGTGCTGCACACACTGTTCTTCCGGTAGCACTTGTCAGGAACGGGACTGGCGGGCTCCGTGCCACTGTCCCTCGTCTGGTCATGGGCAGTTCTGGTCTTCCTCGCCGGAGGCCCGCAGGCGCTCAGCGCAGATCCTGCTCCACAGGTTTTGCATGAATGTTTTAATGAACAGGGTAGTAAATCAAGACAAAATTACCCAGCTCTCCTTTTCCCTTCTCCCTACAACTCGTGAGACTATAAGCTGATTACGAAGGTGGAGTGTGGCACATGTAATATTTCTCTATAAATAAAGATACCCAAAGACAAACATGATCGATCGTCCTTTCAAAAATTACCACGTAAGAAAACTAGAAATACCTCAATAAAAATATAATTAGGTTTTCAAAGAACAGAAGTGTGTACGCACACATATCCACAGAGCTCATGTGAGAACCTCACGGTTATTTATTTCTATTACAGCTAGACACAAAATGCCCAAAGATTTACAAATCCAACCATACAAATTTTAAACACTTTTACAAAGATGTAACTATAAAGAAATGAACACTATGTATTTATGTTTGCAAACAATTTTACTTTCAATTCCCTCTGGTGTGAAAATCGAAGTTTGTCAGAATTTCTTTTTGATACAATCGTATGTTAAAATTACGAGGACAAAATTGATGAAATCCTAATCATCAATAGCCAAGAACAAATGACTATTAAAATAAATATGATCTTCAACTCTTT